CATCAGTCTCAATAGTTTAAAATTCTTGGTGTTTATTTGTTTTCAAGTATACCTCCTGTCTTCTTTTGAAACCAAAAGAACTGGTCAATGTATTTTTCTCACTGATAGACATAACAAAAGCTATTAAGTGACCTTTAATTCTCTTCCCTAAATTAAACAACCCCAAATCCCTAAACTCGTCCTTAACGGGTTTCTTGTTTATCCCATTAAATATATTGTTAATGATTTTCCAGTCTTTTTCAGCTAATGCAAACACAGGAGTGTCAAATGCTAAATAGAGCTGCAGAATTTCTTTCCAGCCCTGCACATTACTCCCAGTTTAACACAGTTTGGTATGATACTTTCTTAAAAGTAAACTTCGGCTAGTGTTCCACTAGGATTCCAGATCTACCTCAGCTAGACCTGCTCTGTCTCGGGGGATGACAGGTTAGCATAACTGGATCAATCAGGTTGATGACTTGTAACCATCTATAACTACAGTCATCACCTCTCAACAAAGTATACTATTTCCTATTCCGGAGTACAGAAACAGCAGGTAAATAACACATGTGTGCTGTTCACTCCACATTTATATTTGTAAAATACAAAACTCAGCATTTTCTAACTTTCAGTCTGAAGTCTCATTCTCCTAGTTTATGCCTGAAAACTGACTTGTGGGTGACCTCATATGTGATCGTGGGGTGGAGCTGGGAGAAAAGGGAATAGATGTGTAACATGCTGATCCCAAACACTGCCCCTTTCAGGAAACTGGGAGGCAACTCGGGGAACTTGCCAAGATGCCCACTAAATAGGACCCTGAGGTCTGAAAGTCATGGATCCTCTCAAATCCACGAGCAATGTCTAACGAACATCTCTTCAATTAATGTGGTTTGGCTGGTACCGCAGACCATGACTAGCTCACAGACCACCCTTCATCCCAGGCTAAGTCAGTAGGAAGTTTTCAATTCAGTAGTAGGTCTGGTATCAAGAATCTTATCTACCAGCAAAGAATTTTTTTGTTATTGGTTTTTTTGGGGGGTGAAGTAAGGAGTTGAGGAAGTATTAAGATTCTGAATATGACCATAAGAATCTGAGTTCCTGGGAAGGATTACTTCTCAGCAACACCCTCTAATAATTTCATGGAGCCACATCCATTCTCACCAGAAAGAGACTTCTTTAACTGCCACAACTCCACACCTCCCACGTTGGGCTCTACTAAATGTCCTTCATCATTTGTCTCCTACAGATGAAACTCTACTGTCTAGTCCCTTATCCCATAGGACTCATTTGCCTCGTTCATACTTAAGTTGCTAGAGATGAATAATATTAGTCATATGTCCCCAAAGAGTCATTGTTATATATGGCTAGATTATTCACTGATACTTTTAGTAAATATTATACTATTATACTTTGGACTTGGTCCCAAAACCAGGACAGAGAAATTAGTAGAGAACTTTCTAAAATCTTACTTGTGGTAGAATCTTTTTCTTTGGCCTCAAATAGCTTACATTACTTATCATAAAATGCACCACTAGCTCTTTACCTGGGGATATGAAATTCTCTTTCCTTCATTCTGAGGCTTAGTAAATGCCTTAAATATTACCATCACCCCCACCTCCAACTGAATAGAAAGTATAATACTCTCTATTTCCAAATCAGGGATCAGTAAACTACGTACCATGAACTAAACCTGGCCAACTGTCTCTCTTTTTTTTTTTTTTGTGAGATGTGAGTTTTATTTTTTCACCCTCAGCAGAGGGCTATGGCATCACAGCTCACAGCAACTTCAAACTCTAGGCCTCAAGCGATTCTCTTGTCTCAGCCTCCTGAGTAGCTGGGACTACAGGCACCCATCACAATGCTCAGCTATTTTTAGAGATGGGATCTTGCTCTTGCTCAGGCTGGTCTTGAACTCGTGAGCTCAGACAATCCACTCACCTCAGCTTCCCAGAGTGCTAGGATTATAGGCATGAGCCACTGCACCTGACCCCCAACTGTCTACTTTTGTAAATAAAGTTTTATAGGGACACAGCCACGCCTATTCATGTACATATTGTCTACAGCTATTTTCATGCTACAACCCCGGAGTTGAGTAGTTGTGACAGACATCTGGCCTACAAAGCCTAAAATATTATCTGGGCCTTTACAGGAGAAGTTTGCCCCATTTTAAATCATGAGGAAAACAAATTGTTTACTTAGAATAATCTCCTCCCCATCCCAACAAAATAAAATAAAACCAGAAAACAAGCCTGACCCAAGTAAGCGGTATTTGTATACCAAAGGACTGGTTTAACTCTCTGACAAAGTACCCTGTGAAATAAGATATATCTAAGATATAAAATACTTAAAAGGTAAATAACACAAAAATTTTGGAGAGAGATATGTGTGTATTTATATTTGCCAAAGGAAATTCTGAGTTTGCTGCTTTAGGAACATGATAAAACTCAAATTCCAGTCACATGTAGAAACAGGGGAGGGGAGGGGAGGGAAGGGAAGGGAAAGGAAGGGAAGGGGAGGGAATGTGATATAACAGACATTGCTCATCAATAAGAATAAAGTGAAATAAAAAAGTATCTCCAAACGGTACAATTCTACCCGGAGTTTCACAGGGGACAGCTTCCGTGTACATGCAAAGGGAAAGAGACTGGATGGGGAGATGTTTTCTACTGGAACCATACTCTGAATCACCCCTAACATATGCTACACCCAGAGACCAACCCAGAAACCCACTCCCACCACGGGACCATTCTAAGTCAGGTGAAGACGAGGATCTGCTGTTGTGAAGGATTCTGGTTAAAGCATTCCAACCTCAACCTGAATCTTACCCAGACTGGCAGCCCCTGAGGAAAGCTGCCCCAAAGCCATCACAGTGTGTCTGTCTGGTACGTGGTCACGTTTGGTTTAGTCTACACAAAGCTGATCTTCAATGTTCATTTTTAATTTACTATTAACATTTGAAAATGGGGAGATCTCACCAACATTTCTGAATTTTTGGCCCCTCTTAAAAAACCAGAAGACCTGAGAACCGTGGGCTCACAACCTCCAGCCCCCAGCTTTCCTGCGGGCAGCACCCCTCGGGCTGAACAGCAGCTGCTGCAGTGGAGGCACAGGCACTTCTGTCTCCATCCACTCCCTGCTGCCTCCTGGTGACCCGGGGCCGGGCATCACAGGCTGCTCCCCAACTTCCTGGCCCTGTTTTCACTTTTCTCACACCTGCCTGCTTCACTCATGAAAGATACCTGCTCTGCAGGCATCTGAATTTCAACCCCAGTTCATGGTACTCTTTTCCCCTCCCTCTTGGTCAGTGACCATCTGTAGACACAGAGCACATGCATCCTTGGCCAACCACTCAGCATCAGACACTTCCAAAAGCAGTTCCTGCTCTCAAGGCTACCATGGACATTTGGGCACCTCAGGTCTCTTCTATCCTCAGTTCCTTACACTGGTATTACTGCTCTAGGCCAGACCTCTAACCCTAGAAGCAGCCCACAGTACCTACAAAGAAAGCTTTAGCCATGCGGAGAGTCACACCGTAGGCAGAAACCATTTGCCCATCAGAATCAAGGCACTTTTTTCTAGAGTAGAAATTAGAGGGAAGATTTTGGATACAATCACTTCCCCACACAGAAGATATTTATTCCCCTAGGTGACTTCTGCATTGATCTAATGTCTCAAGTTTTGAGACACCATAGGAAGTGTGTGTTGGGCAATAGATATGTCAAATGTTCTTTTTACTCCAAGTATCAATCAACAGAGAAATGGATAAACAAACAAAACAAATTACAGTTTATACATATAATGAAATAG